TCTCTCTCAAATAAATACATAAAATCTTTTAAAAAATAAAATAAAATACATAAATCATTCTTAGCTCATGGGCCTTACTAAAATAGGCCAAGGGCCAGATTTGACCCAAGGGCCACGGTTTGCCAACCCTGATCTAGACCACTGTGATGCTTGGGATGTCCAAATTGACCTTATTAATTTGTTTCCCCTGACTACAGTGTAAGCTCCGTGAGAGCAGGAACCGTGTGTCTTATTCACCACTGTCTTCTCAACACTTAAAATGGTGCTGTGCCCAGAGATCTCAATAAATACTCACTGGATGAATGACGATAAAAACTTTATGGCAGGGGCGCTTGGGTGGCTCAGTTGGTTAAGCGTCTGCCTTCGGCTTGGGTCATGATCCCAGGGTCCTGAGATCGAGCCCCGTGTCGGGCTCCCTGCTCAGTGGGGAATCTGCTTCTTTCTCTGCCCCTCCCTCCTCCTCCTCTCTCTCTCTCTCAAATAAAGAAATAAAATCTTTTTAAAAAAATAAAAAAGAACTCCCTCTAATTCTAAAACAACAACAACAACAAAACAAAACAAAGCAGAAAAAAAACAAACCTTTATGGCAGAGTAGCAGGACCCAGTGCCTCACTCTGGCCTGGCTTCTTCTGCCTTCCCCGTCTAGAGGACACAGCTGTCCCCTACTGGGCAGGACTGCTGCTGGTCCATGAGATGTCTTTATGCAAACCAGGAAAAGGTGACCCCTCTGGCTGGTGCAGCCCAGCCCCCAGGACCGTGGTGGGGGGGTGAGCACTGGATCGTGTACAGCGGCTCTGGGGTGGAGTTCTGAGTCAAGAGTTCTAACATCTCATCTTCTGATATTATTCCCACACCTCTATGGCAAAATCCTATGCGTGTGCTCTGCTTGCTGCTTTGATTCTCTGTTCTTTCACCAACTCCCAACACCCTCTTGTTCCAGTTTTCCACAAAATGACTGCCATTTGCATGTATTGAAGTGAAATTCTCATTCAGTACTTGGAACTGCAACCAAGTGTAACAGCACGTGGTACAGGGTCAGTGTGTGGTTGGGGAGGGATTTCTGTTTTGTGTGCTTACTACACCTCAAGAAAGACCGTGGGAAACTGGAAAAGGGGCCAGCCAAAGTTGTCAAGGACATAGGGAAACTACCATAAAAACACAGAGTGATATGTTGAGGGTTCTTCCATCTGGGAAGACAAAGGCTACGAAGGAGTAGCATCTGTTGGATCATGAATGTTATGGTCAGGGTGGTCATGAACTCATTCACCAAATCCTGACCAGACCAGGGTGCTCTACTTAAAGCTTGAGAGAATTGCGTGTAGGAAGAATAGAAGAAAATCTGACTTCACTCGGTGGGTGGTAAGCTCATGGAACTCATTACCCCAAGTAGGAGTCAGGCAGGAAATAAAAATGCCCAGTAACGCTGTGGAAGGCAGCTGTTGACAGATTTTAAGGACTTCCAAGAGGAAGGAGAAAATGCCTTGGGATATCAGGATGGGCTCTTAGAAGCGGCCAACAGGGGGCATAACTTGCTGTTCACATCGCTTCCCTTCATCTCCAAAGCAGGGACAGAGTTCTAAGCAGGACAAGACCAGGAGGCAAGGCTGCCCTCTACCCCACGGCCTGGGCAGTCTGGAGGATCACCTTGCTCAGGGGTAGGGGGCCTCACGGATCAAAGAGTGACTTTCCCAGGGCGCCTGGGTGGCTCAGTCGTTAAGCGTCTGCCTTCGGCTCAGGTCATGATCCCAGGGTCCTGGGATCGAGCCCCGCATAGGGCTCCCTGCTCAGCAGGAAGCCTGCTTCTCCCTCTCCCACTCCCCCTGCTTGTGTTCCCTCTCTCGCTGTGTCTCTCTCTGTCAAATAAATAAATAAAATCTTTAAAAAAAAAAAAAAAAGAGTGACTTTCCCAACTTGGGTTTCTGTAGGCCAGCTACAATCTATTGCTGGGAATCTGGAGGTCACTGAGACAGTGGAATGATGTTTGTGGAAACTTCACATAAATGTCTACTCAGTGGAAACTCGCCTGTTGTCATTACAACAGCTAACATATCATGTACTGTGTGCTGTTATAAGTACTTATTCATTTAATCCTCATAACGACCCTGTAATATGGGTACTATTATTTCCTCATCCTATTTGACAGATGGGAAAACTGAGGCACAAAGAAATAACTTTTTCAAGGTCCCACAGCTAGTAAGGGATCCAGGATTCAAACTCAGGCTGACTGACCCTGGAGTGTATCATTTCCCCATGAAACTGGGGTTAAGGCCACTCCTACAGTTCTGCTGAGGAAGACACTGCTCAGCTCCAGTCGGGTGTTGTCATGAAGGAAGGCAAGCCCATTGGGACCATGTGCGTGTTTTCAAGAAAAGTCCTGAGAGTCAGCACTCGGTTCTGGATTAAACAAACCGGGCTAAATCCAGCCTAAAGTCATCTGGCTC